CGCTTATGCAGAAAGCTGCTCAGCATCAGGCAGCGAGGAGGACAGCGAGGAGGACAGCGAGGAGGACGATGACGGCAAGAGCAGTAAAGCTGATAGCGACAGCCCGCGGCCCCAACGTACAACACGCAATCAAACGCAGCTAGATAGGGTGAAAGATGCACGTAAGCTCTTCACATGGACAGACAAGTAGAAGTTATTTAGGATTAAGCTATAGGACGCGCTAGATAGCAACAATAGAGCAGCTTAGACAGAGGCGCTTCTTGCGTCAATTAGCTTGTTTGTCTTCACAACATATTACCCTATAGCGCTGTCTACTAGTCTAATTCAGTTTCTGGCAGTGCTTAGGTATGATACAGGCACAGACTGCTTGCAGACAGCAAAGAACTACTCGTATATGCTAGCAGGGATGGTGTACTGCGTGCGGGTAGTTGCAGTTGAGGCGCTGCTCCTAGGCTCACAGCGCAGCGCGCAAACTAAGCTGGACCGCGATTGCTTTGTAGAGATGCGGCAGAGGTATCTAGCAGATGGCTCGTTCAGCCCGATGAGCGAGATGATCAGCATGCTCGCGTACGGCAAGCACATTGGATTAAACGCCGGCAACTCAGGCAACGCACAGTGGTCTCTGGACAGAAAGACGTTTTATCTAAACAGTTGTCTAATTGCTATCAGCTGTTTCTGCAAGATAGCGCAAGACTTGCTAGCTAAAGCAGAGCAGATGCTGCAGGAGCTGTGCTAGATTAGAAAGGAGGAGGACTAGGTAACTATTAATCTTAAGCAGGTAGTTAATAATGTTACATTCACAAAACAACGCACGTCGTTTGTTAATGCACTAGGCAACTAACTGCTAGGTGCGCTAGAGTGGATGCTTAAGCGCGCACTTACCACAGAGGGCAGCCAGCGCTTAAAGCGTGCAGACGGGCAGTGGAGCGTCAAGGCAGTGCGGCAGTACTTACGGCAGGTTGACTACTTCTTGGAGGTGCTACTCTGCAGCGTGCACGTCGCGTCAGGGCAGCCAGGGAGGGGGTCAGAGTCTCAGAGATCACAACAATTCAACACTGCAACAGCGTACTACAGGACTGCAACATCTTTATTGTAGATAGGCAGGTAATAATAGTTGTTTGCTATCACAAGTCGCAGTCACAGTGGGACAAGCCAAAGATTGTGCCGCGCTTCTTGCCACTGCAGCTAGGGCAGGTGATGGCATTGTACTTGGTGCACATGCAGCCGTTTAAGGAGTATCTGACGCTGCAGGTGCTTGGGGGGAACTACAGCGACTACGTGTGGCACGATGCACAGGGCGCGTGGGACACTGGCCGGCTCACGAGGATACTGCGGCGAGAGACTGGCAAGAGGCTTGGAGTGCCGCTGCACACGCTCGACTACCGGCACGCAGCGGTGGGGATTGGCCGGGTGTACGTGGGAGAGTCGTTCAGCAAGGGCTATCAAGACAACGTAGGAGAGATGGAAGAGGCAGAAGTGGATGACGATGGTGAAGACATTCTTGAGCTGCAAAACTCGCGCACAACTGCAATAGGCGTAGGCAACTACAGCGTGCTAATGGATATTGTGAAGCATCTCAGCGTGCGGTCGATCGATGCGTTCCGGCTGCTGAGCGTAGCATGGCACCGCTTCTTAGGGGTGGACAGCAGCAGCACAAAGTACGTGGGGCCGAGCAGGATAGCAAAGAGGCTGATGAGCATCAGCATGTCGTCGGGGCTCGCTGGGCTGCTGAGAGAGAAGGAGGTCTGGGTTGCAGACGCGCGGGCGGAGGCGATCCAGCGGGGGCTGCAGCAGGTGCTAGGCAAGCAAGACGTTGGGTTTCAGTCAGTGGAGCAGGAGCAGGCACTGCACGCGGTGCTAGAGAAGCAGACGCTGCTGATTGTCGTACTCCCGACGGGCGGAGGCAAGAGCTTGCTGTTCACAGTGCCAGCTTGCGTGGAGGGGCCAGGGGTGACAGTGGTCGTTGTGCCGTACCAAGCGCTAATTGAGGATCTGGTCAGGCAGATCCAGCTATCTAGCGTGGAGTGCATGGAGTGGAAGCACGGCGAGAGCAACCCAGCGTCAGTGGTGGTGGTCAGCGCAGACGCAGCTGGCGACATCACAAGCGCTGGCAATTTTCTGGGGTACGCGCGGATGCTGAAGGCAAAGGGGCTGCTGCACCGGATTGTGATCGACGAGTGCCATCTAGCGTTCACAGCAAGGAACTGGCGGGAGAAGCTGCTGGCAATGAAGAACTTGCGGCTTCTTGGGAGCCCGCTGGTGATGCTGACAGCAACGCTGCCGCCGCTGCAAGAGGGAGAGCTAGAAGCAAGCATGCTTGTGCGTCAGGCAACGTACATCAGGGCAAGCACAGTGCGGGCGAACGCGCGGTACTTTGTGTCATGGTGTCAGCGCGACAAGGTGGAGGAGACAGCGCTGTTCATGTGCAAGCGGTGGGTAGAGAAGCTGCGGCGAAGTGGACAGAAGGGGGGGGTGTACTGCAAGAGCAAGAAGCAGAGCGAGAGGCTCGCGGAGGAGCTGGGATGCGCGCACTATCACGCAGACGTGGCAGACCGTGCGGACCGGCTGCAGGGGTGGGTTGAGAGGGGTGGGATGATGGTGGCAACGTCGGCGCTAGGGACAGGCGTGGACTTTGCTGGCATCGTGTACATCTTGCACGTAGGCACGCCGTGGAGCATGAGCGACTTTGCGCAGGCGAGCGGGCGCGGGGGACGAGGGGGCGAGCAGTACGAGGTGGTGGTGCTGGTGGGGCAGGGAGAGGTAGAGCAGGTGATGGAGCGAGAGAAGGAGAAGATGGACGTGCTCGCGATGGGGCAGTTTCTGATTGGCAGCGGATGTTGACGAGAGCTGATGAGCTTGTATCTAGACAAGCGGGGGCAGAGCTGCGGCGAGCTTGGGGCAGCGGGATGTGATCGGTGCGGAGAGGGCGAGGAGGTGTGGATAGAGGAGCAGGAGAAGTGGTCGCGAGAGTGGGCGGTGGTGGAGGAGGCGTTCACAGAGCTGCGAGAGGGGTGTGCGATCTGCTGGGTGGTGGGGCAGGAGTTCAAGACAGCAACAGAGGAGCAGTGGAGAGGACACAAGGCAAGGCAGTGCACAGCATGGGGTCAGGGGACAGGGATGCAGGCGGATTAGTTCCAGGGGAAGATGCAGGATTAGATAGTAAAGAATAACTGTTAACAGTGCTAGGTGAGTTAGTAGTACTGCGTAACTAGGGAGGGTATAGACAAGCAGTGTCAGTGGCCAAATGTAGTGGTGCTGCTGGCGTTTGCAGCGCGGCTGACAGGCAAGGGGATTCAAGCAATGGGAGAGCTAGGGTTTGCAGAGATAGGGGATAAGGCGTACGCTAGCTAGCTTAGAAAGGGGCACAAGTCAGAGATGTGGGGGCAGATGTTTAGCAACGCAATGGCATTAGCAATTAAGGCAGTAGTAGAGGGGTAGGTAGTAGGGGCATAATTAGGGTTAATAAATAGAAGATAAAAGACAAGGTTAAGTTAGAAAAAGGAGATTAATAAAAATATAACAAAGGTAGAAGAGTTAATAAAGAGAAATAGAAGGAGTATAGAAGAAGTAAAGATAAGAGAAGAAGAATAGAGAAATAAAGTAGGAGGTATATAAATAGATTACATTAAGAAAGAAGAGTAAGAAAGGTAGAGTAAATAAGAATTTTTAAAGTAAAGTAGGGTAACGTAGATTATCACCAAGCCGGCCATATCACCAAACCAGCCACTTTCTCTTGGCACAACTAAGACAAGTTACTGCAACTACAACTACTCGCTATTAAACAGTGACCCAGCATACTGCGTGCTTGCATCAGATTCAGAAGATGTTTCTGCACCCTCCTAGCACGTTCGTGCGTTATGTCCAGTTGACTGAGCTCCTAGTTGACCACCTCCACCCCGAGTCTTCTTAGATGGCTGAGCTGCTACACACGCCTCAGCAGCTACCCGCGATGCTGCTGGGCCATACTCAAGTGTGCCACCATGCTGAATCTGCTTTCTCTTACGCGATTTTCTCTTAGTCATTACTGCTAATTGCTCTTCAAGCTCTCGCACGCGGGCCTTGATAAGGACGTTTTCGTGCAGCATCTCTTCAGCCCCTTTTACAAGCTTTGAGAACCCCTCTTGCGCTGCACTTAGCAATTGTCAGAAGGAGTCGCTTATAAGCTTAGATTAAGACCCAAACTCGTGTGTATTGCTTGGCGTCTTGGATTGCCACAGCGTTTCGGGTAGAGGTACTGCTGGTGGGGTATGCAGCTGCACTTCAAGGCGATCTAACACCACCTGCGCGTTAGTAGGAACAAGCCCTAATGCCTTAAAGGCCTTTTAGCAGTTAACCTTTGTAAACACATTAAGGAACGCGTCCCTAAAGGCTAGTAGGAAGCCTTCCTTGTTGATGTAGAAGACGCGTTAGCGTGCCAAGTCTTGAACGCGTTAGGAGTACTTGCGCTTCAACAGCAAGAAACAGACCACGTTAAGTGGCTAGAGGATGTGCAACGAGTGAGGTAGCATGCAGAGAGTGAGGATTTAGTTCTCTAGGCAATAGTCCTTAAACTCCTAGTTAAGATGGCTCTCATGGCCATCTAAGATAAGCAACCTGTACACTCCCACCTAACGCGTCTTTATATGCGTGTTAAAGTGCTTTAACCACTCAAGGCTAAGCGCGTTGTTTGTCCAACTGTTCTCAGAGACTAAGAGCTTCTAATCGTGGGGTATATCTGTCTCCTCATACCAGGCAGAGATGTGGACGCGTCCTTTGTAGATGATGAAAGGCGGGGTTGCATACCCAGCGGCGCAGATGCTCTGGATAACGGTAACCCACTCGCGATCACCTGGCTGAACAAGCTCTGGCCGAGCACGTCTCTCTGAGCCTGTTACAACCTTTAAAGACAAAGCAACGCCCATCTAGAACCTAGTTTTATCAAAGTTGTGCACGTTGTTGTTGCAAACGCTATACTTAACTTAAGTATCCTCCACTAGCTTAAACCACGCGCTAATTATCTCAGGATCTTCCTGTAGTATCCTCTGTCTATCCTTAGCTTAATTGAAGGCCATTTTGAGCTCGTCTAAACGCGTCACAAGCCTGCTAGCCTATAGTTTGCTAACAGGCTCTTCACCACGCACACTAAGTATCTTATCAGCCATATCTGCCACCTCACATAGCTGGGGCGCAAATCCTCGCAAATTAAGGTTAAGTATATACTAGACAATTGTCTGCTCCTCTAGTATAGTAAGTTTCTAGCAATTAGCGCGTACATCTAGTTGAAACGTGATATTGCGAAGGCGATTAGAGACCTGCTGATAAGGTACGTTCAACGCTCTAGCAGCGCTGCAGATACTGCGAAATTGGCCAGCGTAGAAGGCCTAGATAGCAAGGATAACTCTGCCTTCTCTAGTAGTATTCTGAAGTTGTTGTTGTTGAGGCATGTTGTGTTGGGGTAAAAGGTGGCTGTGCCAAGAGAAAGTGGCCGGTTCAGTGATATGGCCGGCTTGGTGATAATCTACGTTACAGCTAGTTTAGTATTTTTATAAGTAAAGAGCTCTAAACAAGTTAAGTAGTTAAGTTAAAGGGTGGGCGGTGGGCCCTCCTAACCTATATGACGCGCATGCTCGGGCCCGATCATCGCTGAAACGGGTGTAGCGTTAGGGTTGCGCAACCAAATCGGGCCTGCGATAGGGGGCAAACATCGTGTCTTTGACCCCCAATCATACCCCTAAGCTGCACCGCTCGCGGAACATGTTCCATACAAAACCTGCTAAAAATCATACACTCTATCGCGCCGCAACTTTTGTTTCTGCATTTCTCAGCTTGCATTGCTGCGCTTAGGGTTATCTTA